TTCACTTTGGCTTCTTCCTGATCTGAAGTGACTTCCTCCGCAGGTATATGTTTTTCCACTCGATTGAGGAACTCGTGATCCGTTCAAGGTCCATCTTCATGTACAAACCACCAAAACCTCATTCTAGGCCTTAGCCCATATAGAACTGCCATGAGTACGGCATCGTCGGAGATTTTTTCAACCTCCGTGGACTATTTGTTAAACCTATTGAAGTAACTTTTAAGTGACTCGCTCTTCCTTTGCTTGATGCTTACAAAACTTTCTTTGGGTGTGGTTCTTGCTTTGGAAACCATGAACTGAGCTAGGAGCTTTGTGGCAAGGTCATTCCAGTTTCTTATGGACCTCTGATGTAGCCTCATAAACCACCTTTGAGCTTTGTTTCCCAACGTTAATGGAAAAGCACAACACATAAGAAAATCGCATGCTCCTTGCAGCTCCATTCAGGAAGTGTAATTGTCTAAATGACTAAAGGGATCTCCTTCTCCCTCATATCTAGTCAGTTGTGGTATTTTCAATTTTTCAGGCCAAGGTTCAGTGGGAATGTCTTCAGTGAAAGGAGAATGACGTTTAGTGAGATAATCCTCCGTGCTTCCTTTGTTTTTGAGTTCCAGATCAGCAATGCATTTTTTGAGGCGTTCATTTCAAGTTCAACCTGTTCCGAAGGGCGTTTTGCATAAGGCTCAGCATATTCGCTTCGAGGCATTAGGGAGCGCTGAGATCCTAACCTATCAAATACCCAGTTGGTTTTCGTAGTAACCAGCTCCGCTGTTGCGGGAAAACTCCTGATTTCTTCATTTGACCTTTGGAAGATTCTTCTCTTGAAAAGTGGAGAGCCCTCCTGGTGGGAGGTCATCTGGTCCGTTCCCTATGTGGGGACTCCACCTTAGTATCAAGCGGATAAATGTGAGTTTGGTTTCGCTCCAATCCGTTGACTGCATTTGTCAACCTTTCGATAGCTTTTCTCATAATGGTCATTTGAGGGTCATCAGCTTCATTTTGACCTTGTCCTCTTCCAATATTCTGTGAAATATTGGTTTGTTTAGGATAGATATGAGATTGATTTCCTGATGCCAAAATATCATTCATGACAGTTTTTTTTTTTTTAATGGAATTTTCTATGGAGAAATATGGCTGATTATATAAGTTAGGGCCCTTTCTCTAGTGCCAAACTATTCACGTTGAAAAGTGTATGGACTAATTCCAGTCAAATTTGAATGTAAATAATGATTTTTATTGATGATCACTTACAAATTACAAGAGTTTTTATCAAATGAGATATTTGAAATATGAAGGTATGCTCTCTTTTTCTAAAGATATCATGCTCCTTTTTATAGGAAAAGAAGAGTCAGTATCTTTCATATTCCTATTTTGTCAATCAACAGTATCGAACTGAAAAGTACATTAATGACATATTCCTATTGGTTATTGAGGTCGGCTCCATCAAGTTATCATGAAACCGTCCTTTAAATAGGTCCCCAGCAACTAGTGAGAGGAGGAAACTACATAATATGATTGCTAGAATAGGTGGGCACTGATACAAGTCCTGAATATAATTAATGGATTGGATGTTTTAAAAGTGTGTAAGGAATCTATAATTATTATGTTCCTTCAAGGTAGGACGGTCATAAATACCAGCTGACCTTATAAATCCGACCTTAATTTAGCATAAGCTGAGTGTACTTAACAAACGAATTTAATTAGGTCACAGGTCGAATTTCAACATTGGTCCGAGTATTTCAATACCCAAAACCACCCATTACACTTCAGGTACTTCATAAATAAAATTATTCGGGTCTTGTGAATATTGGAACCAAAACCAAACTTGAACCATCGATTCCAGTTCGATTTAAGTTCTACCCAAAACATATTTTATATACATTTAGCCCTTATTTGATACACATTATTTTCAAAATTAATTTTTCGTTGTCTTCTTTTCAATCACACATTTTTCAATAAAATATTATTACAATCAAATCAAAAACTTTTCATTATTTTTAATCACACATTTTCTACCAATCTACTATTATAAAATACATTTTTCAAAAATAATGTGTATCAAACAAGCTCTTAATAAATATTTTAATATGAGCCTTTTTGGTACATATACTTGACATACTACTACTCGAAAATATTTGTGTAAGGGAGAAAGTTCAGTTAAAAAATTTAAAGAAGCAAAATAGCGTATACTTAAAACTACAAAAATAGGAGAAAATTAAAATATAAAAATTAAATTATAATTTAAGAATATATTTTTTTCTTAATAAATTTTATTCAATCCATAAGCGAGGCATACTAAAGCATACAAGTTAATTATGAACAATACTTAAATTCTTCTACATTTAAAAAGAATTAACATAAAAAACACAAATTAGATAAATAACTAAATTGTATAAAGAAATTACAGTTCACATATTGAATTCTTTCGTTTTGAATAAAAAAGGAAAAAATATATTTCAAAAGAAAACAACGAACTCATTTGCCATACATAATAAAAATAAGTTATAAAAATATTTAAATTTGTAAACAATGCAAGAAAGTAAAAAGTTCTAATTGTAAAGAATAAATAATTTGATTCATCAACTTACACCACAATCTAGTTTGAATTTTTTGATTCATAAAAAGCTTAAATTGTAAAAATTAACATGCACTAACTTTTGAAATGCAACAATTTGATGCGAGCCGAGATGTAAGAAAGTACGAACCAATCTTGATTTCATAGGGTTAGGAGTGTGTTTGGTGCAAATTTTTTAGGAGAGAATGCATTTTTTTGTGAAAAAGATGGAAACATTATTGATGTGATGAAAAATATTATTTTATTGAAAATGTGTGATTGAAAATTAGTAGAACAATGAGAATGAAAATGAGAATGTGGCTCAAACGAGGCTAGATTCTAAAGTTTTAAACTAATTACAACCTAAATTAGAATTTTTAGATTTTATATTTTTTTAATTAATCTTTAAATTGTAAGTAAAAAATTATATAAAAATCGGTTCCACTCGAATACTCACGATTTTGGTTCAGAAATCAAGAATCAAAACCGATCCAGTCGGTTATGTGTTCCGGTTCCTTATTTGTTTTTTTTTTAGAATCGGACCGATTTCGATTAGAGAGATTCAGTCCCACGCTTATTATTCAAAAATCCCCCCATTTTTTCTCTCGAATCCAGTCTCTCTCTACTAGGGTTTATAGCGCCCCCTCTCCAACTCTTTGCTTCAATCTCCGATCCGACCTACAGAAATGGCAGCTCCGGCAGTGGCGAAGCCGAAGTTCACGGAGACTTTCATTGACAACAAGCGTAAGGATGATATCCGGATGGCCAATATTGCGGCGGCGCAATCGGTGGCAGACGCCGTCCGTACGAGCCTTGGACCGAAGGGAATGGACAAGATGATTTCTACCTCCTCCGGTGAGGTCATTATCACCAACGATGGCGCCACCATTCTTAATAAGATGGAAGTTCTGCAGCCAGCTGCAAAATTCCTCGTTGAGCTTTCAAAATCACAGGATGTTGTAGCTGGAGATGGGACGACCACTGTTGTTGTTATAGCGGGTGCTCTTTTGAAGGCGTCTCTTACTCTTTTATCTGCTGGCATTCACCCGACGGTTGTTTCAGATGCCCTTAACAAGGCTTCGATTAAAGCTGTTGAGGTTTTATCGGCTATGGCTATTCCTGTGGAGTTGTCGGACCGTGATTCGCTGGTTAAATCGGCCTCGACTTCTTTGAATTCAAAGGTAGTGTCTCAATACTCTTCTCTTTTAGCCCCGTTAGCTGTTGATGCTGTACTTTCTGTAGTGGACCCTGCTAAGCCTGATTTAGTAGACTTAAAAGATATTAAGATTGTGAAGAAATTAGGGGGAACTGTTGATGATACCGAGTTGGTCAAGGGGCTGGTTTTTGATAAGAAGGTGAGTCATGCAGCAGGGGGGCTGACCAGAATGGAAAATGCTAAAATTGGGGTCATACAGTTTCAGATATCGCCGCCTAAAACTGACATTGAGCAAAGCATTGTGGTATCTGATTATACACAGATGGATAGAATTTTGAAGGAGGAGAGGAACTATATTTTGGGTATGATTAAGAAGATTAAGGCAACCGGGTGTAACGTGCTGTTGATTCAGAAGAGTATTTTGAGGGATGCTGTGACAGACTTGTCATTACATTATTTGGCAAAGGCAAAGATTTTGGTAATTAAGGATGTTGAGAGGGATGAGATTGAGTTTATTACCAAGACTTTAAATTGCTTACCGATATCAAACATTGAGCATTTCCGGGCTGAGAAGTTGGGGTATGCAGATTTGGTGGAAGAGGTGTCATTGGGGGATGGTGGGAAGATAGTCAAAATCACAGGAATTAAGGACATAGGGAGGACTACCAGCGTTCTTGTCCGTGGATCAAACCACTTGGTGCTTGATGAGGCTGAGAGGAGTTTGCATGATGCTTTGTGTGTGGTGAGGTGTTTGGTGAACAAGAAGTTTCTGATTGCTGGCGGTGGAGCACCTGAGATCGAACTGTCTAGGCAGTTGGGCGCATGGGCCAAGGTGCTGCAGGGGATGGAAGGGTACTGCACGAAGGCATTTGCTGAGGCTCTTGAGGTTATTCCATATACATTGGCTGAGAATGCAGGTTTGAACCCAATTACTATTGTGACTGAGCTGAGGAATAGGCATGCTCAGGGTGAGATCAATGCAGGGATCAATGTGAGGAAGGGACAGATTACTAATATAATGGATGAAAATGTAGTACAACCACTACTAGTGAGCACAAGCGCAATTGCCTTGGCCACAGAGTGTGTCCGTATGATTTTGAAGATTGATGATATCGTTACTGTGAGGTAGAGTTTCTCAGAACAAGAAAATGTTGGATGGTTGGACAACTGTTTGCTTTCATATTGTCTTTTTCTTTTATCTTTTGATTTGTGTGTGCTTCTTTCTAAAATTTCTATTCTATTTTTGATTTGACATGTTTTTTATGTAATATGGATATCTCAATTTTTGATTGGCTAATTTGAATATGGCTTTATCGATGGCTTTGAACTTCTTAGAATTTGAAAAATCTGATACAATTCGCAGCACTGTCCCAAGAGGCCAACATGAAGAAAATTGTGTAAAACATCTTCAGGAAAATGTACTAGTTCAATCTGTAGCTGTAGAGCATTCTGCTCGACATTAGTAATCCTAGAATACACGCCTTTCAGGTTGCTTTCCAGTTTCCACCTCCTATTTCACGTGTAAATACTTATCTGTTTGCCACGGCCTTTGCCACCTTTGTATTCACAATGGTTGGAAAAATATTTGAGGTTAGTTTGGTTTTCTAAAGTTTGTTTGTTGATCTTCTCTTTCTAATAAGAATTTTGATTGAACTAAAATCTTCCTATATTCGAGAGAAAAATAGCCGCTCTGGTTTCAGAGCTATGAATATTATAGAAAATTGGACTTCAACAGGGACAGCTGGGGATATGGAAAGAGAGAAAAAGGGGCATTTGACTGTTTGGGGGAACAAGTTTCTAATTTATTGTTTTTGAAATTAGTTAAAATGTTAATGGTCATTCTATCCACACACCAGATAAAGGAGTTTAGCAGTTGAAGTTGCTTAATTTTCTGAAGTATGGCTTTATGAAAAGCAGCTCGTTCTATTTGATTTCAAAGAAGCTCATGAGTTATAAAATATCAAGTTGTTAAGCCATCATTTCATTGAAATGGCTCTTTGATGTGAAACCTGGGTTAGGTTTTCATATTTTAAATTTAAAAGATTTGAACATACCCAGTAAAATTTACATGTTCTGATATTGTTGCTAAGCTTGTCTCTGACAAGAGCAGGAATCATGGAATTTCAGATTCATCGTAGCTTTCTTCAGTGTTGCTCTTTCCCTTGAGTAGATGTTTTGTCAATGTCTCTTCTTCATCTTGGTTTTTGTTCCATTTCTCTAGTTTTACCCCATAAGACCAGGTAGAGCCCAACCATTATGAGAGCAGCTCCAATAAGGATCGCAAAGGTCTACATGCTATTAGAATGAACTCTGTTAAGTGAGCAATATTAGACAAGACCGGATAGTATGATCGAACGAAATTTTAGCATTTTTTCTCTCTTTCTTTCTTAGTACTGCTCAGGGTAATCTAATCATTTGATAGAAACTTGCTATAATAGCACTATATAAATATTTCTTGCTCTAAATGCCATTTCCATAACATACCCGCCAGAGTATAATTGATCACCAAGGATTACAAATGCCATGCCAGCGACTAAAACTGTTTGAACTGGCTGGAAGCTGGCAACAAAAACCGGTCCTCCTTTCTGAATACACCAGGTCTGAAGAGCAATGACTATCCCAGAAGATATAATTCCCTGAAATGGATTCAAAGGTTGCAGAGCTTCTACTGGAGAAAATTACAAGTAAGCCATAAGCAATTTAGTTTGAAGATATTACAGCATATAAGATTGTGAATCTCTCTTCCCTGGAATGAATTTTCCGATGTTTAGGATCCCTTTCTACAAAAGCTGCTATGAATAAGAACTGGATCAATCCAAAGAAGCACGTAAACGAGGTGAGTGAGAGTTTGGCAGGGTATTTCTTCAGAATAGGAGCCTGCGAAGTTTATTATTGAGCCTTGATCAGTAACTTAGATTGTGATTTTGGATAACAATTACCTTGAGTGTGAACTGTAATTAGCTTAATATTATTGTAAACCGTGTAGGTACATTGAGTATATTATAGGCCTACCTGAAGGACCATCCAACCAGCCCATGATAAGCAGTGACCAAATAAAAATATACAGCCCCATGTCCAGTTCTATATTATAGTTGTATTAAAGAAACTGCCTTCTTCTAAGTTACTTCCCACTAGTTGTGATGCCTGGTGCAGAATCAGAGGGCCTTTATAGAGAATTATAATAGTAGCACCTCCTACGCTTGCTATGGTCCCTAGAATTTTCGCCAATCCGTCCTTCCTCATAATATTAACTTGCTCACATCTGAAAAAAAAGAAAAAAAAATAAGGAAATTCAATCATAAGTAGGCTATTGGAAAATTCGATTTGTTAATACACGGGTTAGAGTGGAGGTTTGATACCCAAAGGTCGAAGCCATGATGAAAGTAATAGCGGGAACCGAGTTCTGCATTGCTGATGCAAAGGTTGGAGATGCATAATACAAACCTAATATGTAAAAT